CCCCCCCCCCCCCCCCCCCCCCCCCCCCCCCCCCCCCCCAAAAACAAAAAAAAAAACAAAAAATTTAAACAACGGAAACCTTTTAAATGAAGAAAAACACTTAACACATAATCACAAACGATTACTTGTCATCAATGCTATGTCTGCATTACACGGACGCCTCAAAATTTTTTTTTTTTTTTTTTTTTTTTTTTTTTTTTTTTATCACACATCGCTGCACTGCACCGCATAGTGAGCGTATGAATGATGTTAGCATTAATTTTTATAACTAAAGTTTGATAGTCTGAAGGTCGTTGCTGTACATGCTGCTTACTTATGTCTATAGGGGTCGTCTCCTCATGGCATTTTAGATTATGCCTATCATTTTGTGCACACACACACACACAAACATACATACATACACCCATACACACATAGAACTGCCTAATTTTTTGACAAAATATTTCTTTTGTCAAACATCAATTTTACTGCTGTCACCTACAATCTTGATTAAAATGATTGCGCGCTAAACACAATCGCTAGTGATCATTGGGGGCGTATACTGTTTTATTGTTTTTGTTTTATTTTTCTAAATTTTTTACTTTTCTTTCTCTTTCTCTTTCGGTTTTGTTCTTTTTTTTTTTTTTTAATGGCTTTACTTAATTGTACAGGAAGAAGGTGTGGAGTTAATTTTGTTAAATTTACCCATTGAACTTGATTTTTTCATTGAAATGAATCGAATAATTTTACAATCACAATTTACTTACTTGCCGTTAGTATAAATTTGTCTTAGTAATAATATAAATATATAATTGTAATCTTTCACATTTTATTCCTAGACGGAAATTAAAAAAAAAAAGAAGAGAAAAAATTCCTTTATTCAACAGTAGTATTTACTGCTTCCTGCAGTTTTCCCACTCTTAAGACGACTGTTGTTACGATTCGCTTTTCATACTTTACGCTCAAGTCAAATTAACCTTGAACGGATTTACGCAACAACCAAAAGGACTTGAGATAGATCCATCTTTTATTATTAAGAAAGTGATTCGCAATCAATTTAAGCCTGTCTGTCCGTCTCACCGACTTGTGGCATACTTAACCCAAACTCTGTAATTTTTGTAATATCTTGATGAAATATGATACAAATACATATTAAATTTTCATAAAATAATGGATAAGATGGACATTACGTTTTGTAGCTGATTTCAGGATAAATTGTTCCGAATGTGATTCTTCTAATAGAGGAAAAGTTAAAGCACTCACAAAATAGAGGCTTCCTATAAGAATTATGTGAACAATTGCAAGTTGGAGAAGAAGAAGATTTCTGAACTATCGACTGGTCTGTTGCGATTGTATGGTCAAAGCGAATTCTCGTAAATTTTTTCATCTTGATTTTGTCTAGAGCTTAATTGTACCTTTCCCCAATTTAGCAAATTAACACTTGACTCTCATTGACAATCCGCTTATGGAAATGGTGGTTAACTTTAAAAAGATATACAAGCATTATAATAGAAATAAAGGACTTGAAAAGATTGTATTACTGTATTACTGTATTACACACACACACACACACACACATACACATACATACACATACACAAATAACTTTAAATTGTTTCAGTTTATAATTTATTAGAGATTTAAAGGGCGATTAAGAGCAGCAAGCTACGCTTTATGGAAACACACACTCATACACACACACACGCAAATACCTTTAAATTGTTATTAGAGAATTAAAGGGCGATTAAGAGCAGCAAGCTATACTTTATGGAAACAGACAAGTAATGTTAAAGTCCCCTGCAATCAATTGCTAACGAACTTGAATTATGTGGAAAGAATAAAGGCATCTTCATACGTGATACCATGGCGGATTTATTAAGAATTTGTTAGCTATATTTGTAAGCTTAAGTAAGCTTTGGTACGAAGAGGAAAGGGAACTTTTCAATTCATTTCTCTCGTTAATGGATTAAATAACTCGAAGAGGTGATGCGAAATTTTTATATCAATAAATAATAAAATCTTATTTATAATAAACACAAACAAAAATTATTAATAAATCTTTGTATAAATAATCAATTTAGCGTTGATGCTCTGCTAATAAAATGATACCATAGTTCATAAAACACCTGTCTGTCCGTGAATACTTTAACATTTTCATGTTTCGCGGTTGCACTTTACCTGATGATTTGATTGATGGATTTAATTATTTATTAATTTATACTTTTTTATTCACTACAGGATGACGGCGGTATATTAATTATGTATTTCTACTTGTAACATGTACAAAGATACCCATGTACATGCATATATATGTATATATTTTATTAGGGTAAAAATCTGCGATAATATAAATATAAAAATCATTTGTCAATTGATACGTGTATCGTGCCTGCCGCTTGTTAGAACGATCACACTTTTGAAAAGTAATTAGAATCATGATATATATATTTACTCCCTTAATGGATTGCTACCAAAAAGGCGTAAATCGCCATAATAACCCAAAAACTGTACCAGAGTAAACACATCCTTACTATCAACCACCCTGTACGAGATTTACTTCTAAAAACCTAATTCAAACTATATCTTAGATCCACGTAAACAATAAATTTAAAAATGTTTTGTGATTGATTATCTAACGCGATCATATTCGCAAGTATTTTATTTAAACCGTTTGATGCCAAGGATTGACTCCGAAAAGTATATAACTATGTAGTTGTTATAATTGTTATAATTTTTTTTTTTTTGTTTTCTTTTGAAAACCAATTACATACCATAGTACGTTCGTTTAACCATGTGCTGATAAATACAATCGGTCAAGTGGAGCAAGTAGATATATGTGTAACTGGTAAAAACCACTTAAGTGTTTGGTATTTAATTTTTTTTTCATTTTTTCCAATTTTCTTACCAATCATTTTTCTTTCATATACTTGATCTAGCTCTCTATCAGGCCTCTTCTTCTTTAAATCGCAACCTAATCAAATAAGAGTCTTTTCATCAGATCATCCTTAATTAGTTATATAATAGAGAAATTTATTCTGATTTCGCTTAAGCTTTTCTGGTTTCGCAAACTGTTCTGCGTTTGTATTAGGTGGTTGCATATATTTTGGCCATTTTTTCACTTGATAAAAGCATTTATTGTAGAAAATTGACGCAATATATATATATATATATATATATTAATCAAAATAATTTCCATCCAATTTGGCAACATTGCGATATTAAATCGATCATATTGATTTTGCAGCTATCCACTCACCCACCCATTTTCGTATTTCTTCAAGTTGGCGGACCCGTGTGCCAACCAAACCATGCTGCACCGATCTGAACAAGTGGCAACCAGGTGTCGGTATGTCTGATGTTTACGCTAGTACGCTAAGCGTGGCATATCTTTTCCATTCGAGCTGTAACAATGTATCCTGGACAACTCTTCCAACAAGTGGCCAAAAATGTGGCATTCTCCGTCACTTCGTGTCGCCATTTTTAAACTGTTTGAATCAAAGTCGACAATTGTGATATGACGGCCTAGCATCACCATAAGCCTGTGATCGTATTTCGTTGGCTGCGGCTGCAGATTTCTTCAAATAAACTGCAAATGTAATGTATTTGGAAGAAGAAGAATTGTAAGCACTTCACGATATCGTTCACGTTGAATAAATCAATCATATTAAATGGGAAACTGTTATCTTATGTGGAGAGAAAGGCCAACAGCGTCGAATTCAACCGGCATGTACCTTGATAGTTCCCAATTTCTTTATTATTTTTATTTGCAGAAGCCGCTGGGCAAAATATATGCAACCACCTAATAATTTCCTCAAGTTTTGTTCTTTTTTAATACCGCACAAAATCATTGTTTGTCAGCAACATGGTCCATTTTGTCTTAAATGATACCCATTGATAGGAACTATAATAATACTTTTCCCGCTTCAGATGCCATGCAATTGAATGTTTATTGTTAGGGTACTATTTGAGTGTCAAGCGTCGTCGTGAGTGGTCGAAAAAGTGGCCCGTTCCGAAGCATTCTCAATAGTGTTCGTTCTTGGGTGAAAACAAATATCACAAGAAATGCGACCTGCAGCTTGAACACAAATTTACATGGACAGACATCAGATGGACAGGTACACAGATGGACAGACAGGCTTACATCAATTCAGATTATGATTCTTAATCGATGGGTACAAAAAAAAGGTGGGTCTATCTTAAGCCCTTCTATGCATTATATACATCCGTACATATACTTTGAATAATAATAGAAATTCGATTAGACAGAGAATAGAATAGGGAGAACTAAATATGTAGACCCACTAGTAGAATTGTCAAAATGCAAACTTTCGATGTTCCTATTATCAATAAAGTAAAGAAAAGTAGCACTGTTAATTAGCAGTCTTGTAAGTGCTTGTTCTTTCATTATAAACTAAAGCGCTTGGGGTACAGGGACGCAAAAGAGCTTAAGATAGATCGTCCCTTTATTATTCCGATCGGTTCAAAATCATAATCTGAATTAATCTAATCCAGTCTGTCCGTCTGATGTTTGTCCACGCAATAATTTTTTTCAAGGTACAGGTCGCTATTCTTGAGACAAACCCATATACTGGCTTACTGTGAAAAGTCGTGATAACGAAAAAAATTGCAATTTTGAAAAGTTTACAAAAGTGTCTAAGTAGTAGTACTTGGGCATTCTAAATTGGCATGAAAACTTTGGAAAACTATATTTCGTTGAAAAGTATTTTATGTTAACTCTCGGTTAAACTATTACCCAATGATTGCTTAGTGCTAAGAAGCTAAAGTCTTGTTTTTATATAGATTGCTTTTTATTTATTTATTATACTAAGGATGTGTGTAAAGCAGAAATTGGTAAAGAAACTTTCCATCGAGGTAAGTATCCAAAAAAAAAAAAAAAATTTGCAAATATTAACCTAATTAAACGTTAAAGGTTAAATAGATGGTTTTCTCGAAAACCATATTCTTAAGGGAAAACTTTTTTTTACTTTACATTCATAATTCGTAGCTTTTTATCTTCATCGCAGCATGCTAATCATTTTCAGGCCTAACAAGTAAGAACATTAAAGTCAAGCTAACGCGACCATTAGATATCCTACACCAAAACTTACATTGCATTATTTGCGTGCAAAGACATAGTTTTCATGAAAGGCCGCATTTTGGAGGTTGATGGGAATGATCACATGACGCGATCAAAATTTTGCAAACTTATGTTACTTACTTGAAAGCTTTATTATTTTTCATAAAACTAGAAAATAAAAATTAGATTTTTTCTCTTCTTGTAAGTCCTTCCTGTTTCCCATGATAGGCCTCATATATGTTAGGGTCTAAATAATAGATCTATGTAGACCGAATTCACTAGTATTAATTTTTTTTTTTTTTGCTAAATTGCTGTTATGGGTCAATTTTCATCATAAAATAGTAAAAATTAAACATTTTCCTGAAGGAGTTACTGCAACAAATAGACTCACGTGGTTTAAATGTGGCCCTATATATATATATATATATATATATAACTATATAGACAATTGTAAGACATCTGTTGATGTTATGATGTTTCGATTCAAACGTAAGCCTGAAAAGTAAATGGGAGAGAAGTATTATTATTATTATTTTAGACTAATGAATTGAATTCTTAGACTAAAAAAAGAGACATTGAGCACTAGCAACACAGGCTATCGGCTGAGAAGTAAACGGTAAACTGTTTTTAGGAAAATAATCTTACAACTCTCTAATCTTAAACTCTCGATATATCCATTTAGGATAGATTGTATTATGATACGTAACGTATGGATGGTTAATTAAAATTATGACCATTATACCTTTCCTCCGATCACGTGCACTTTTATCAAATAATTTACATAATTAGGATCATATTCTTATACAATTGCAATGATGTTATTCGAGTGAAAATTTATTGTCTTGAGAACAGTGAAATATGCCTATGCCCCTATGCCCATAAGTTGGGAAGTTTGCAAAGACTGGAAGAATTTGCAAAAGACTGTCTCCTATGCAAAATCATGAATTTTTCTGATAATCGCCTAAGCGTTCTTTGTTTTTTTTTTTTTGGAAATTAACCCTGTTCGGTATGTTTAGTGATTTTTCCTAACAATTGAATTCATTTATGCATAAATGCTTTAACAGTCATTTTCTAATAAAAGCTTTCACTAATATAATAATTCTTTTAAAATTCATTTCAACTAATTATTTTATTCGCCAATCATTGCGAGCACAAATTTTTCATAATTTACGCTAATTTAGACAAATTAAATGTGCAATTTAATTTAAATATTTTCCAAGACAATCTTTATAAGAATTCCGCAAAGTGAATAATCACTGCAAGTGCATCAAAGAAATATGATTACTTAATATATGTAGTTAGTATAACTGCAAGTGTATTCGTGTATTAGATATATTTTCTTTTGATTTTCATTTTTCCTCTATCGTCATTGCAAGTAATTTTGAATTATTTATTTATTTTTTTTTTGAAAACCATTAGAAATGCCATCCAATGTTGAGTATGCTAATCTAATAGCTACCAGGGCGTAATCTTTACAATCTAATTCTATATTCTTCGCCTTTTGTGTTATAAGGGTATATTAAGTTTGTGCGGATGTATGCAATACCTAGAAGGATCTGAACAGACTAGTCAACGGTTCGTCTCAAAATCTCTTTCTGGACCGATCGAAGCTTGTCTGTCCGTCTATCCATCCTGCTTGCTTGTGTTCAATCTACAGGGCGCAAGTTTTAAAATATTTTGTGTGAAATTCGGTCAAACGGAGATGCTTTGGTTCAGGGGCGAGCACTATTAAAAATGATTTCGATCCGACCACTTTTTCGATCATATCTCATCTATAAAGTCCAATTTTGAAAAGTCGTTATATAAAATAAAAAAAAAAAGTGAATTGACAAAGCGGTCAACCTTAGCAAATTTGGACTACTTAGCCCATTTTTTGGACATCATCGCATATAGTAAGAATTTTCAAGATATGTAAACCCTTATACGGCCTAATTATTCATATTTTATAATAAAAATTTACTAATAATAATAATGTGACATACAAATTAAATGGACCATATTTGAGTCACATCCGTCTATTTCTTGGACCCGATCCCATATAAAATCTCTTATGAATAGTAAGCGTTTCAGAAAAAGGTTTAATTTTTAATATTTTATGATGAAAATTGGTACATAGTAGCATTATAACCAAAAAAAAAAAAAAATAAAAAATTAACTGCAGGAAATTTGAATCGTAAAGTTCTATTTTTTAGACGTTAATATATATAAGAATTATCATAAATATCAAGCCTTTTTACGTAGCGAATATCTAGTTTTTGATGTAGTTATATCAAAAAACGGGGGAATAAGTTTACTAAGAGAATCGATGTAGGGTATTTAATAGTCGACCTTGGCCGACTATAATGTTCTCATTTGTTTTTTCTTGTTTTTGTGTGAAATATTGAAAATCACTCAGGGTATGTCCTCTAGTCGCGTGAACGTTAACGGTCCGGGAAAAATGAGGAAAGAAAACAAAATCGATAGGTAGGCGGCAGCCTAGTGTGTTTGTCATCGTTGAAACTAGAATCAACGATAGGGATATGACTCAGTAGCATCACCATAACCCTTTAAAGATTTCTTTGATTGGCTTCGGCCGGAGGTCTCTTCAAATCAAACGACAAAAGTAATGAATATGGAAAATGCAATTTTGGGTGTTTCACCATTAGCGCCTATATACCCTGTATAACATAATAACACTCAACGGAAAATCGTTATTTTATGTAGATAACGATCAAAATCATCTTATGTGACCGTTGTGTCCACTGATAATTCGCATTACGTTTTTACTCGTTTTTACCAATAGATGTCGCTGTCCAAAATACATTCAAGCCCCTAATCCTTTGTACTTTTTATATGTTCCCTTAAGATAATGCATAGTACCCGAGATTCTCATTATACTGAATGTTTCTCTTACTTCATTTTAATTGCAATAAATTAATTCATTGATCAGATTCGATTTTATTTGTTCTTGGAAATTAATTAAGTAAAAAATTGATAATATAATGATTTTATATATATATATATATATATGTATATATAATGGTTTTTATCTGCCTCCCCTTTTATAGAATATTTACTTGATCAGTTGGCCGATAGAAATACTAGCACACAAAACACAATTTTGAAACGTATAAGCGATTATTGCGATAAGCCCGTTACGGATTATCGTAATGATAAATATGAAATACCTTACACATGGACTTTCTATCATTCTTTCTTCTTCGCCTTCACTGTCTGCTCGACAGTGGGCTATGGTAATATAGCTCCGACGACTACCTTAGGACGTATGATAATGATTGCTTACTCGGTTATTGGTATACCGGTAAATAGTATATTGTTTGCCGGCTTGGGTGAATATTTCGGAAGAGTGGTAAGTTGAATAAACCAAAAAAAATAAATAAATAAAAAAAAAATCTCTCTTGTAGGAAATGCAAAAATTTTATTAATTATTTCATTTTTCTTCATTTTTAGTTTCAATCAATCTATCATCGTTACAAAAAGTATAAAATGTCAACGGATATACACTATGTTCCACCGCAATTGAGTTTAATAACTACAATACTGATAGCCCTGGTACCGGGTATTACTATGTTCTTGCTAATACCTTCGTGGGTGTTTTCCTATTTTGAGGATTGGCCTTACTCGTTGGCCTTTTATTATGCTTACGTTACTACCACAACGATAGGTTTTGGTGACTATGTACCCACGTTTCAACCACAACAAGTAAATTTGCCTATCTATCTATTTATAATCATTTTATATAATTTTTTTTTTTTTTTTTTTTTTTGCTATCTCTTTCTTTTTTTTCGCTCTCTCTCTCTCTCTCTCTCTCTCTCCCTTTCTCTCTTTCTCTCTTTATTAGCATCGTGAATTCGGTATTTGGTTTGTGGTCTATCAGATTTTCATAATAGTTTGGTTCATCTTCTCGTTAGGTTATCTATTGATGATAATGACATTTATAACGCGGTAAGCGAGCACTTAAATGAATTCATTTGAAATCAATTTGTTTGACAATCAATTTTCCGCTTGCAGAGGACTTCGCAGTAAGAAATTAGCCCATCTCGAGCAACAACTATCTTCGAATATTAAAGCAACCCAGCATCGCATCTGGAATGGAGTCACCAAAGACATCAGTGCCATACGTAGAATATTTAATGAATTATATTTACTAAAATTTAAGGTAAAAAAAAAAAACAATTTATTATTGAAAATAACTTTTAAATTCTATTTAGATAATGAGTTTAAAATAAACGATTATATGCGAGTGAACGGTGTATGCCATCACAACGTTTCTATTGAAAGCATGCAAAAACCCTTTCATTTCAATTTTCAAATGTTTGTAAATCTGTTTTGAAAACTTTTACTCGGCCAACTTTTATCTTTCCCGCATGCATTCGTATTACAAAAGCAAACAAATTCATCCGTCCATGTCATTTAAATTTTAGCAGCATGACTCCCCTTTTCCGACCTCGGAGATCAAAGTGCCATAAAGACTAATGGGTGATCGTACGTTTGACACTGTTCCCAGCTCTCGACTCATGTGATCCACGTGATGTTTATCCGATGATTGAATCGACCAAATATCTGATCTTCTTATTGCAGATCATTTGACATTATATTCGTATGACTAACGTTCATATATACATATATACAAAATGCGAGTCGTGCATCCGAAACACGTCTGGTTATTTCAGATTATCGACAAAAAAAAAAAAACTTCCTTCTTGCATATTGTCATAGGAATGCTCGAACAGACAAGTCATCAATTGAAACCAGTGTTAACCAAAACAAGTGATGCCTAATGAGTATCCAGAAGGAACCCATAGAATATATATATATATATATATATATATCGTGATCAAGGTGAAATTCTGAACCGATTTCGGCGTATCCATTTGTATAATGTCTGTGGTAAAACTTCTCGAGGTTCCAAAAATTAGCTGTAATCGATTTCTCATTTGGCAAATCACCATTGGAAGTTCTTGCACATATAATGGTATTGAAAATGCACTAAATCGATCAAGGGCCACGTAAACTGGCAACAAGCTCTCTCTTCGAAAACAAGTTTCCGATTTCTTTTTCCTTAATTTGCCGAAAGCGAATAGGCAAAGCGCAAGTGCATAAATTATCGTAAAGAGTTGATAGGATAATTATAAGCAATAAACGACTTCTTTGACCTTTGGATTTGAGTTAATGAACATGTAAACATAGTTAAATATCAGAGATAAAATATATATGTACATATGTATATAATTTCTTTATTTCCTTTCGTTTTCAGCCTGTCTACACAAAATGTAATGAACCGCATTGCTTAAATCGTTCTATATCTTGCCCTGATCTAACTATTTATCGTATGGAACCGATATCTGAACATGCGCGTAAACGTGCTTTTTCCGAATGCTACGATGGGACTGAAGCGCGCACTGATGGTACACCCTTCAGTTTACATGCAAATTCGGATACAGAGTTAAATAAAATTGATCGTCAAAAATCATTCGAAACTGCTGAGGCTTTTCGCCAAACTACTAATCTATTAGCAAAAGTAGTTAACGCTTTAGCCGCAATTGCACCTCCCACTCTTCCCGCTGCCTACGATGGTGATGCTAATAACGTGCGCAATTATTACCATGGCTTCACTGATTCGCAAATTTTGGCCAGTGAATGGCCTTTCAATGGCGATTTGCCTAAGCAACGGGAAAGAGCTTGTTCTGAATGCAATACCGATCGAAAATGGCAAAAAAATTTGCATAATACTGCTAACGATCATAACGAATGGACTTGGAGTGGCGATAATAATCAGATACAAGAAGCCATCAATATACGATATCGTCAAAAGGATCAATATCAGCATCTATATCCCAACAGTTTCGGCCAAATACCATTGAATTATATCGTTAATATGGAAGGAGAAGAGGCAGCAAGGAAGACAAGATCTAAAAAATTTTCCATACCTGATGGTATACGCAAATTATTTCCCTTTAGGAAGAGAGCTTTGACGGCAGACTTTGAACGGCCTGAGACTAATGTAAATGCAAGAGATCGTAAAATTTCAGCGATAAGTGTACCCGAAGTTAAGCCGCATTGTACATCTGATTTGAATTATTATAGCACAGTAACGGCCAACGCTAGTCCAACATATTTTATTAACGGTAAACTATTACATTCCAGCAATTTATATCCGTCCGCGAGTAGTTTATGTTCGAAATTATCATTAACTGATAATAAAATTAATGACCTAAATGATCAAACTACAATAGATTTTTCTAGTGCAACCTATCTTAAACGTCATAAGAGAGAGAATGGTACTTTAATCGGAGAGAAGCCTGATAAATTTAGTTTAATGCAAACTGAAAGACGTTGTAGCGTTTTAAGCAACAACTACGATCGATCGAGCAATGTCCTCTCAAATACAATACGTCGTCATAATAGCGTTTTTCCAACGACCTTTGATGGCTCAAGGAGGCCTAGTATATTTTCAGCTACCTCGCAAGAAGATAGAGAAGTATTAGAAAATACTACATTGGCTGATTTGATACGGGTTTTAGAAGTGATGCATACTCAGGCGATATTAGGCGAGGCCGCTGATAGTTTGTCTACAGCCTCAGCTCGTGGCGATAATGAAGCGAAAAAGAAAAGAAAAATCGGTTCTGTTGGATTGGATATAACACCAATGTTCCCAATGTTTCTTCCAAACGATAATGATAAGACCTTAAGCGCAACAGCAGTAAATCGCTTATATGCTCGACGATCGACCGTGGTGGGTACACTTTCACAATCGCCCCAACAATCTATAACTTCGAATAGCAGCATATCCAATATTATTACACGTCGGCGACAATCACAAAATACCCAGTTCGTGGAATTACCACCAATTTACACGGAAACATCGGATAAAGATATGCAGAATTCTGCAAATACATTAGCTTCAAGATTTAAGAGACGATTTAGCATCAGACCGACAGCTTTACAGATACCACCTGGTAAAGCTCCGCCACCCGAAAGTAAAGAGAGCAACGAATTACAACAACAGCAGCAACAAATGCCATTGGCAATTGCCGGAGCAAATGCGTCCACTCAAATATTATTGCAGCCAACACAAAATGTTTTACAAAAACGCTTATCCTTGAAACCTTCGCCACTGGCTCAAATCAATACGGTAAATATTAATCCATCGGGACCAGCTGATAATGTACGTGCACTTCCGCGCAATACAACTAGCACTCACTCGCCTTTGTCGCGTATCGTGCAAATATCGCAAGCGAAGCGTAAAAGCAGTATGACCGATGAGTTTGGAACACGTTGGTCAGATAAATAAGTTCAACGCTCTTTTTCTCCAATCCTATTATTCGTTCCTTAGAGGAATTCCGTTACAACAGAACGTATTAGTTTGCATGTTTCACATGCGTAACAATTCATGTTTTTAATCATCATAACGCATTTTATTCTTACGATTGCCAAAAAAAAAAAAATAAAGAAGAAGAGAATTCTCTTGTCATTCTATTTGTTTATATTCATTTCACAACGATTTAATGCCAATATATCTGTTATGAATTTTAATTATATACACAAGCATATAACAAGCATATATGAACAAATTTTGTCTATTTTAGAAGTAATTATATTAAATTTTACTAATTTCTATTTATTAATATTAACTTACTCTAATACATATTGTAAACAATATAATGTGATTCTTTATAGAATCAGATAAAAGACATTTGTGGTCTTCGACCACTTTGTACATGAAAAAATATTAAAGATAAATTGCGATACAAATTATAATAATACTATATAAAATACAATTATTTAATTTAATAATTTTTAACAAATGGGTAAGCATTTCAAAGAGATTTACTGTTTGCTCGATTAATACAATTTAAATGATTTAACTAAATCGAACAGAAGGCCGGCCCTACATTTTGTCAAAAGAACTTAAGCTCGTTCTATGATATCCTTTGTATGGCCTTGATGAAGCGTTCAGCGCGGCATTAATTGATTTAAGAAGTGGTAACTGTTGCAATCATGACCAAATCTTTTATATTCATCACCGTTATCCTTAGAAAAAGACATAAAATAAATAAGGAGCACCTACATTTTCATGCTATATAATCCGTAGTGGATGAGGCTGAGTTTTTCTATTTTCAAAATAAAAGTTTTTGCCGCATTTTTTTGCACCTTTTTTTAGGCGATAACTTTATTTTGGACAGATGGACTGATGAACATATTTACATCGAAATTCTCTACTACAAATTTGCAACTGGCCAAGAATTTATATGCATTGTAGGGTTTTTGCAACTTGTTACTGTGCCTTGTAGAGGTATTGAAAAAAAAAAAAAATAAATTACATTTTAGTACACTATAATATTGGCTAGGCGTGGTTAATTTTTTTCACTTTTTGTACAGATGCTATGTGCATAAAATATGCGTTTATATTTTTGTACATCTGTCCGTTACAGTTTATGTATGACGAGCAAAAAACAAAGCTTCCATTCCTTTTGCAAAAAACCAATGTTCGCAGTTCACGTGTTGGGCGTGTGTGCAAGAATTATCATTGCTTCGGATAAATGTGAAATCGATGAGTTCAGTTTCACTTCTCGATTATCCAGCAAAAACGTTTAAGAGTTCCAGGAGTTTAATTCCGGAAGAAGAAGGCAATGCAAGATCGCTGAGTTGAGCATCGTCGGTGACCGCATCGCCGCGCTGCCAATTGAAATTGCCATTTTCGACGTCCTTTTCAAGCGGCATTATGTAGGCCATACAAAAATTCGGGATTTTTCCATTATTTCGGAAATAAGAAAAGTAGTGGGACTCGAACTTCTTCAACTCGTAACAAATGACCGAAATGACATGAAATTTTTATAGGCGCATAAAAATAATTTAGTTTCTTTTTTTTTTAAACATAAGATCCTATATGCCAATTCCAGGAATTCCAGGGATACGTGTGCATGTGTACGTTTATATATAAATAGTATAAGTACATCAAAAGCAGAGAATATATACACACATACAAAATATTTGATGCAAATGTCAAAGATTTCAAAAGTCGTTTGTGCAAATCTTAAAACGATTTGTGATAGGCTTGGGCACATGTTTGCGTCTATTTGACTTATTTCTGATAAAATTCAATTGATTTCTGATCAAAAAAATTGGCGAGAAATTTGGATGCAATTTTCAAAAAGCTTGAACAAATAATGTAACACGGTCGATACAATCGTATGCTATTTTTCTTCTTTTTTTTTCTAATCAGATGTTGCCAAATGCAATTGTTCGATGCGTATTGGGTTCGATACTTGCATCCTCGTCTACAAAATATATATATATAAATATATATATATTTATTTTACATATTTAGTTTCTATCGAAAGAACTTTATCCTGCGGCTCTCACAACAGATATGAAAATCGGTTAACCTAACTTATGTATGTATGTATGACTTTTCATCAATTTTAGTACATTTCTGAAACATGCGATTTAGTAGCCTATTTATTAACGTAATCAATTCTTGCAGCCAAGACATACATACATAGCCAAAAGCCGTCGCATAACAAGAATACGATTTACTGGTCTTACAACGACGTTGTAATGACATAGTTCGATCTCGTATATTACATTTATTTCTTTTAGAAATTCTTTTCTTCACTATTTTGCTTCCTCTTGTGAATGTGAATAAACTTATTGCAGCATTAAATATACTTTATACAATTTTTTTAATGTTTCCGAGTAATAAAGTACAAACTGCAAAATGGAGAGACATAATAATTAAAACAGATTGGAAATCGTAAAGCTAGTTAATGAAAAATCCAACATATTTAGAACCGATACGTTATGGAAATTTATTGTTTAATTGATCATCATTTATCTTAAAGCTATGTAGTTTATTAAAGGTATTTATACGGTTTTCGTATTAATTTCTTCAAAGTGGGCTTAATTAATATGAAAAAAGTTTGTGCATACTCTAATCAGAATCTTCATATCACACATCTGTTTTGTACTCGTACTTTATAACAAATTCTTAAAAAGTATATTGCATTTATGCACTACATACCGAATAGGGGCAATAAGTGCACGCATACTTCAAAGCAAAAAAAAACTACACAAATTCATTTTATATTTAAAAAAATTTAACAATTCATTAGCCATATTTATCAATAAACTATAGAAATAGATCTTGTACTGAATCATGATATCGCAATATATATCATTTAACAAATATAACAGCAGTTCCCCCCCAAAAGTTAATGTTTGCATCGATGTCTAATTAGCTTAGCATTCTAACTGGTTTTATTAGTACGAAATGTTTTATCCATAAGGAAATCGACAAAATGATCAATTGGATGAACAATTATCGGTATGGATAGTAAGCCGATAGCTGTTGGCATATATTTAACAATTGATTCCCTGGCTCGTGCTTGTTTAAACATAATACGACTGAAATGGGTTATGCTGAAAATTATATATGTAAAATTTGAAAAATTTAAAACCTTCGTTTAAATAAATCTACGAGTAATTATATATTCAAGCGTATAGAATAGTGGTCTCTTACCGATTTATAGTATAACCAGGGAAAATAACGGATGCAAGCATTTGCCATAAAAACACGTCCGCCGCAACGTTAGCCACTTGAACAAGGGATTCATCTTCTTGAAATTTCCTCCATGACTTTGTAGAGGCATCAGCAATAACATAACTAATCGCTCCTACATAACTTCCATGCACTAGTCGACGAGAAACAAGATGACGAAATGCTTCTCCAACTTCATTCGCATAGCCTGAATAATATTCATTTTTTATCGTCTTCAGCTTTTTTACAAAAACAAACTTAATATTTAAAGGCGGAAAAAAAAACAACAACAACAACAACAAACAAAAAATACATATTCATTCAATTCAAGGAATCTGAATGATTTCAAAAGAAAAACAAAGCGTGATGTGTCATAATTCTTTACCTGTATAGCGAAGCCATGTTTCCCGGAATATGTCTTTTTCTTTCACATTTTCATTAACCATAGCTCCGTTGTTTTCACTTTCAAGTGAGCAGTAGTTAGTTGTTTAAATTTTTTGTAAATTCGCAAGTAATTTTGATGAAAAATCTTTGAAGCTCTGCTTTATATTTATTTATTATATTTTCATTAACTTTTGAGATATTAAAAAAACCAAGTGTATTAAACATAATATTTCTGTACTCTAATTATTATGCAACATAATTTTCGTAAATTGACTTCAAAGTCGAACAATTCAGCTATTGTCAAATTTAAATTGATTTAACAAAAGCGAAACCGGAAAGCAGCTCTTATCAATCAGCTGTTATGTGTTTGAAAAAGTTGGAAAATAAAAAAATCAATTCAGACGCTTTATATGCAGAGCTGCCAGGATTTCGAAAATGTAAATGGAATAAAAATATCTCGAACCTTATCGATATTAACAAAACGTGGTGAGAAGCGCATTCTTGCTTATAAGTTACGCAAATTTAACAAAATTAATATGTAGGATTTTCCTTACAGCTCCCAATCGTAAAGGAATAATGATAGACAATTTAAATAAAGAAATATTTTACGAGATGCGTAATCGTACTCTTAGTCTTAGTTACACATTAAAAGTGTTAATCAAATATATACATAATAAATGGTTATTAACTTACGCGAGTTAAAAAATAATGTAAATGTTTTAACGAGATTTAATACTGTTGAATGCAAATGAAAGTCATATTACCAAAAACACTCCTAAGATTCAAATTTTCTTGTAGGCATAGATATCGCATCGTGGCGAACAACACACGTAACGAATCTATTGTATTTAGAATCGTAAGGAGCATTTAACGAGGAAGTTTAGTAATGGCAGTTTTTTTAGAACTAGTCCGGTTCTAAATGCTTTGTGTGCTCTTGCAAAATTCGAAAGTGCTACATTTAATACAATCTTTCAAATTCATTGTTTAAGGCTCCTTGTAATGGCTCATCATACATTCTGTAATTAGCGGAATTGTAACGATGTTATATATGATCGATTTGGCTCCAACTTATTTGCGAATTAAGAATATTCTTTTTAAATCTAATTTGGTTCTTTATGACGATTTTACCTATGTTTTATTGTGATACGATACGTTACTGAATACAAAACATCTAAAACTAATTTTCGTTTCATTAAGCAAAAAAACAACTCTGCTATGGTGCGAATATTTTCGTTTGCATAATTGACAAGAATAATTGTCAAAGCGATGATCGAATCTTCTTACTGTGTACGCTGAAAAATTTACGTCTTTTTATAAAAAAAATTTAGAGATTAGTCTCAGAACTAAATAAAATCTATATAGTTAAAGAAAAGAGTGTAAGTATAAAGGAGTCTGAAGACTGTACTCACTGCCAAAAATATATAATAAACAAAGTAAAATTTGTGTTCGAGTATCCTTTGAATTGTATTGCATATATGTATCAGTGCATTAGTCATTACAAATTCAAGTGCCCAATGCCAATTTTTAAGAATACCTAGTAATGGACCTCTAATGCAATATATCGCGACCTTGTAAAGTATTCTATTTTTTATTGTAGCAAGTACTTCATCGATTCAGTCAGTTATAGCCCGTTGATTTATTCTTCGTTTTGATTCATGGCTTCGAGTACTACATTGCAAAAAGCAATAGATTTGGTTACAAAAGCTACTGAAGAGGATAGAAATAAAAATTATGCCGAAGCTTTACGCTTATATGAACACGGCGTTGAGCATTTTTTGCACGCCATTAAATGTAAGTTGAACTGGAAATGTTTATTTTCGTTTTTCTTATAAATAAATTCAAGTTTATTTATGATTGCGGTTAGATGAAGCTCAGGGTGAAAAAGCTAAAGATTCAATTCGAGCTAAATGCCTGCAGTATTTAGATCGAGCTGAGAAATTAAAGGAGTATCTAAAGAAAGGCCGTAAAAAACCAATTAAGGAAGGCGAATCCGGAAATAAGTATAGCGGAGAAATAAGCTTAAAAATTTTAGCGGATTGTATAAGTTGTCTTTTTATTTTTTTTCTCTGTGTTTACTAGAGATGATAAAGACAAGAAAAGTGACAGTGATTCTGACGGAGAAGATCCGGAAAAAAAGAAACTGCAGAATAAACTTGAGGGTGCGATAGTAATCGAAAAGCCCAAAGTGAAGTGGTCAGATGTGGCTGGTTTGGATGCCGCCAAAGAAGCTCTCAAAGAGGCTGTTATCTTACCAATAAAGTTTCCGCATCTTTTTACCGGCAAGCGCATACCATGGAAAGGTATACTATTGTTTGGTCCTCCCGGTACCGGTAAATCGTATCTGGCCAAAGCCGTAGCCACCGAAGCAAACAATTCCACATTCTTTTCTGTATCTAGTTCGGATTTAATGTCCAAATGGTTGGGTGAATCTGAAAAACTTGTCAAGAATCTCTTTGAATTGGCCCGTCAACACAAACCTTCAATAATATTTATCGATGAAATAGATTCAATGTGTTCGACTCGTTCCGATAATGAAAACGACAGCGTTCGACGTATTAAAACCGAATTTCTTGTACAAATGCAAGGTGTTGGTAATGATACTGATGGCATTTTAGTTCTAGGAGCTACGAATATACCATGGGTTCTAGACTCAGCTATCCGTCGTCGTTTCGAGAAGCGTATTTATATACCTTTGCCAGAGCCACACGCTCGCCTGGTTATGTTTAAAATACATTTAGGTAACACTACACATACACTCACCGAGCAAGATTTAAAAGTGTTGGCTGGCAAAACAGATGGGTAAGGATTGTTAGTTTATTTCATCAGGAAAAAACACATTATTTTATAATAAATAATAATGTACTTTTAAGTTATTCGGGGGCTGATATATCAATTGTTGTACGTGACGCTCTAATGGAGCCAGTACGTAAAGTGCAGACGGCTACACACTTCAAGGTAAATTTGTTTCATTACATTTACTTGTAAAATTTTTACTGAACTAGATTCTTTTTACTTAACAGCGTGTTACCGGTCCATCACCTACCGACAAAGAAACGATATGTGACGATTTATTATTACCTTGTTCGCCTGGTGATGAGGGAGCCATTGAAATGTCCTGGATGGATGTGCCTAGCGATAAATTATACGAGCCACCCGTAACGATGGTAACATCAAGATATTATCTTAATAGGTTTTCCTATATTTCAATAATTTTTTTATAACATTACAGCGTGATATGCTAAAATCTCTCTCACGCACTAAGCCTACAGTTAACGAGGAAGATTTAATTAAATTACGTAAATTTACGGAAGATTTTGGGCAGGAAGGTTGAATTATTATAAGCAACCACGAAAAATATTAATGTTAAATGTTATAAATTAAGTCAACATACTTCTTTTTGATTGTTTTCGTCATTGATTTTTTCTATTACTATTTCATCTAAAGAAAGATTTCACAACATACAGTGGAAGAATATGTGTTTCTGGCAAGGAAATGCAGTCTCATATTTTTATACCTGTTACGATATATATGTCTAGATACAAGATAAATACATAAATATATTTGAATACAAGTTACAATGCTAAAAAAGTAAAGCTTGAAACACTGAATGCTGCTTTTTCCATATTTATTCCAAATTCAATAAAACATTTTTTAATTCCATTGTTTTCAATAAGTTAAATAATGCACTCTAAAATACACATAAAAATAAAATATTTACTTAAAAACAAGATATTTTATATATTTCATATATAAAAAGCTTAAGGCCACATTTTCAGACTACATTTTCTCGTAGTCACTTTCTAAAGATTTATAATCATCACAAAAAACCAATTATTTATTTTATATATAAAAAGCTGAAAGTCGCATTTCTTGACTACATATCTTCATGGTCACTTTCTAACGACTCATCATCATCGAATGAATTTGGTAAGTGAATCATAGGTTCTTTTATTCCATAGAGACGTATCATGTCCTGTCCATAGGGAAGCGAATAAATTCTCAATCAAAGAGGATATCGTTAAACCGATTTACCTCACAGAATTCAATACTTAGCGAACAAATTGCCTGTGTGGTGTCAGTTATAGACTCCATCTCACTCATTCTCGCAATGCGTACTTGCGGGTATAGATCTTCACCCCTTTCAATAGCAATATTACCGTCGCGCACCAAAAAAGACATTTGAAAGGCATTCTCAACGGTGTTCATGAAATTATTGGGATCTATGATGAGTTTATAAAAAGGTATTGGTTCATAATTGTTTGCTTTAAATAAACTATTTAACTGCCTAAGTAGTATATTGACTTTTTGAGCACAGCGCTCTTTTTGTTGTAATTTTCCCACATTCTCTGGACGTTGTTCTCGAGCCAGTCGTTTTTGGCAGCGTTTCTGTCTTCCTTTCAGGGCGCGTTCTTTAGGCTCGACATCTGCTGCCCCCAACATGCTTGTTTTGATTTGAAGACTACGGGAAACATTTGTAGCTATTTCACCCAGAACATTCCAGTCGGAGTTTCTGCCTTGATTGATCAAAGATTTCTTTGAAATAAAACTTGGAATTCTTTAAGAAGAAAAATGAGCAACTAATTTAAGTAGGTTCAAATTTACCAAAGCATTAGCGTACACCGTTTCGTTGAATTCGGAGTTTACAAGCAAAACATTCGAAACCACCTCGTGAAATTTCTTTAGAACGTGAGCATCCATTAAGCTCTCAGCGTTGTTGTTGCGTATCTCCTCCATTGCTGCCGCACCTTCTTTATGAATTTCATCATTATTTTTAATATTCTGGTTCAGCTCCTCCAAATCGGATGCTGACATATTTTTTTTATCACCTAAAACAAAAGTTTCATATTAATTACACTCAGTTGTTTACTGCCATACTTACATTTTTTTAAATAGTCCAGAATACCATTGTAACGTTGTTTTCTTTCACTTGACTTTTGTAAAGAAATGTCCATTTTCCCCGTAATTTTATCTTTTTCAAAAGATTTTATAAGATTATTCTAACTTCGTATTGACGTATTATTGCCAAGCACTCATTGTTTTTTATTTTATATTAAGGGGGCTAACGCAATATTGCAATATTCCTATTTTCAGGATGGGCTTCAGCTTGGCCGAATTTTTGCGAGCCTTTGTGGGAATTTGCAAACTGCTTTTGTATGTATCGAAACAAATAGGGCAAAAAAAAAAAAAAATAAAAAAAAAATAAGAGAAAGCACAAAGAGTATTTATTTTAAATTTAGAATTTTATTTAATTTATGTATATTTTGTACTAATAGTAGTTCTTCTACGTAAACGTAAATGTTTGCAAACGTAAATATTTGCAAACCTTAAAAGCTTTGCGCGGTTGGTTTTTGAAAAGCAAACAGTGATGTATTTTCGTGAAGATAAAACACAATCACATAATAAGTGTATTAATCTTTGCAGTGATATTAAATATGGTTCGGATCAGTCCACTATTTCGACCGCTATCAATACAACGCGTTATTTTTAAAGGTCAAACCAGTGTCCAACATTTGTTAAAAAAAATCAAATTGGTGTGAAAACCTTGAATCGGTTGGAGTAATTTTTTAAACTTCCACTGTTCTAATCGGGCCTATGAAAATTGAATCTTTATATATTTGCCGATAATCTACTTTCTTTCCGCTGTAAGAAACTCTGTTGAAAGGCAAAACAGTAGCTAAATTCTCTGCTAT